TTTTTACTCCTCCATTTTATTCCCTCTCCTCGCTCCCCGACAACTTGTCTCCCACACACTCGTTTTACGATTTATAAATTTTCTTTTCTCCGTTGAAAGGAATTCCCTAAACGTTTGATTTAACAACATCGAACCCTGAAATCCCTGTATTTTACACCTGACTTTTTATGCCTTCCAAGATTTATCGAATTATCCACGGCTAAGGTTGGTTCATCGGGGCTGAGAATTATGGAAGAAAACTCGGAATTTTTCAGACGTAAATGATATTTATGTAAAAATTTTCCGTGTACAGGCGGCCGGGTCAAAGCCCACGAAATTCAACCAAACACCGGAGAGCAATAACTTTTTTCCAAGTTCTAGTCTTCAAAACTATATAAACGGCCCCCCTACATCGTGAAGGATCCGTGGCGAATGGAAATCACCCCGGAAAAATGTTCTCCCAACATAATCCACAGAATGTAATCGAACCTGAAGACAAGTGGGGAGGGGAATTAATCCGCCGCGAGTTAACATTTCAACAGGAAATCATCGTTGGGAGATACATTTTTTTTGCTCTCGACAAAAACCGGAAACCCAGAGAAATCTATCGCTCATGAATCCACGGATTGACATCGGCACGGTCAAAGTTTGGACCCCTGTGGCGAAACGTTAAAAATGCCGACGGGGCTCTATATACGGGTCCTGTACGATTCTGACAAAGCTGTTCAGAGAAAAACCTCCTGTATGTGACCCATGTGTTGGAGATGTTGTAATGAGTTTTTCACTGAGGACAAACACACTGCCGACAATATTTATGTAGTTGGGGAATAAATCTAGTGGCTCACTGGACGTTTATAAATTCTACGAATGGATATAAATCACTTTACTATTTTACTGGTTAAAGAAAATGAAATTATTGTACTAGAGAAGATGCAGCTGGTTATGGTGAGAATGATGTGTTGATTCTGTTGAATGGGTGGAATTTGATCTTGCGTGTGAAGAAATTTGTGGCTCTTGAAACCACATGTTTCTGACAAAACATTGAATTTATATTCACTTGGTTGAAAAATCGTGATTGCTCTGGGAGACCATGAACAATAGATAATGATATTCCGGTTCATTAATTGAATGTGAAACGATTGATTGGAGATACAGCTGTACTATTATCAACACAGGTGATCGCTCCGGATTAAGCGAAAATTAAAGATATTCACAATATTACATTGGGTTTCTATTACTATAGTTTTGCTTCCGAAGCTTTGTTGATGTTCAAATTTAAGGTGAATTATCTTTCGAACGATATCTCGATTGTTTTTCCATCTTCATAATGTAAAATATATCACGATTTCCATTGGATTTTACATCACGCAGGAGTTCCTAAAAATTATGATTGTACAATCAAAAATAAAGATTAAGAGATAAGGCCGATAGAGACGAAATAATGAATGGATAATTTATCATGGTAACGAACGATCTGACAGCTATTGACTACTATGACAAGTGACGACCTAATAGCCTAATTAGATACATCAAATTATTAATTTGCAATTTCCTCCTTATTGGGTTTCTTTCCCAATATTATTTGAAACCGCTCTTTGAAAATGTTCAGTTTTTTTTCAACGTTATTTTTGATCGTACAATCATAATTTTTGGAGACTCCAGGGCTATGTAAAACTGAATAGCAATTGGAGATAATTTCAGATTATCAAAATTAAAAAACAGCCAAAATCACGTTCGAAAGATAATCCACTCGCACGTTAAGTTTTGGATTTTTTGTAGTATAGTAACCTATTTTGAACCAAAAAATCTGAAAATACAATTTTTAGACCGCATCCATACGTATGTAGATCTATGGATGTGATAAAGTTTTTCTTCGATTGTTAGCTAATGAATCCATCGAATTAAATCATTTTATTTCTCAAATGTAGTTTTTATTGAGTCCCATTCATCGACACTAATTAAAATTCAATTCATTTCATAATTTTTTCAATTTTTTAATTTTTCATAAAATCGGTTGTCCTACGATAACTAAAAGGAAAAATGTTCAGAATTCATTGAAAAATGGCTTAAGATTTTTCTTTAAATTCCCTTTTGACTGAGTTCGGAGATGAAGGTGATAGCACTAATCCTTATTTTGATTTACACAAAAATTTCTAAAAATTTTGTATTTTTGAAAATCACAATTCCAGGGATATTTTGGGATATCATGCTTCAAATGAATTCAATTATAGCTTGAAATATCAGATTCAATGCCACACTGGCGGGGTTAAATAATAATGACAGCTATATCTGTTGATTTGATTTTTTGATGATTTTTTTCAAATTTATAATTTTTCATCGGTTTCCCAGGAAATGAACTTTTCGATGGTTTCACTGTAAAAATAATCCGTTTTTACAGTGCTCTGCAAATATGTTCAAAATATGGCCAAATTCATTCAATTGTGCATGAAAAAAGGTTTCCTAATGCCATTTTATCGAAGTTTCAAGATAATATATAAATCTAACACAACTGATTACAAAAAAAATTTAATTCAATTTAACAAAATAATATAAAGCGATAAATGATATACGCTAGAATAAAATGATGTGCAAAATTACCATTCGGAAGCGTATTACTAGTTTATTAGCAAAAATTATGATTCACATGGCTATGCTATATGAAGACAGAAGTCAATCCCATTTGTTTAGATTTAACCCTGTATGGGTACACCTCCAGAGCTTCTTGCTCCACCCCCATTGCTGTATTTACCGTCCATTGAAAACACCACATTGAATTCAGTAGCGAAGTAGTAAAAGGAGATAAGTCAAGTTTGACTCTTGACCAGTTTTCAATCAATATCTCGGAATCTAAGGAAAATAGCACAAGACTTTGAGACTGAAGTACGTTTGAGACTGACTAGTAATGTTTGAGAATGAAATTTTCAACCTGAAAATTTCATTCATCATTGTCATCCTCAGTTTTACCTTATCACCTGTTACAAATTTTTATTGTGTTGAAAATTTCGACATAATAAAAATTTGACTAAATAAAGAAAAAGAACGAAAAGGGAAATTGTCAAATGGAAAGCTCTCTTGGATATTCGGAGAAGAGAATTTTCCTTTTTCCATTTCCCTAAATTCATCTTTTTCATCCACTCCAGATTTTTCCCCTTTTTTAGATTGAATAGAAAAAAAGAACTGTGCAAGTCACACCGTTGAAAAGAAATCGAGAGGAATGACAGACATTTAAATGGCCAATGCTGGTACGCGTCAAAGATCTGGGAGATGTAGAAATCCACAAAATAAACACGGTGAAAATTGGATTTTGCTGTAAATTACGACTAATCTCCCGATTACAAGCGGAATTCTCCTTTAGAATTTTACCTCGAGGACTTCTAAGGCCATAAATGACATTGTCCAAGACACCCGGTTGGTGATCCCGTCGTGGCAGTTGAATGAAGGGATTAAATAGTGTTCAACTTTCAATGGAGAGAAGTAAGCACAAGTGTACCTAAATTTTGGCCATTTTGTCCGGCAAAGGTTCAGAGGTGGGGACGCTCAGCATCCCCTTCGCAATGTTACGGGTAAAATCTTTTGGTGCAACACTGTCTCGAACAGATGCCAATAAATGGCTTTTACACGGAGATTATCCGATGTATGATTGTTTTATTACACCTCGGTGATCCCCGCGTAAAGTTTTTAATCCTTCTGGCACCGACAACCCTTTATATTTAAGCTTCTGAGGCATATTCAATGGACATTATGTATTTTTTTATTTTTAATCTTCTTTACGTGATTTATTGACACGTTCTCCATCGACAGGAGTGAAAAACAAAAACTTTAGTTCTCCAAAGCAATCAATTCTAATTGACACTTCAAATTGGAAGAATTGATTTGTATATTTTATCTCCATGAATTCACTATTGTAGAGGGGAAGAGCCTTTTGTCTCTATGGCGATGGACTACCTGAACAATTCTTCAATTGCACAATTTTTCTGTTGAATTCTCTATTACTTCTTGCGATTCACTAAATGGAAATGGGAGAATTTTATTTGTCTGTCAGGATGGATTTTTCCTAAATATTATAGATATGAGGTATTCTATGCTAAATGATTCAACGATTGACCCTCACCCTTTTGGAAATCGATCTCGATTTTTTCTACGATTGGCGGGCTAGAAAAATGATCTCCCCATTTTTTTCAGATTTTTTCGACAGCCCACTTCGGGGATATGATTTTTTCTTTGTTTTTTGTTTTTTTTTCAATAACTCGGGTTCTATTCAGCCGATTTTTATTTATGACCGCTCAAAATTTTCCATTTTCTACCATCTACAAGAAAATTTCGGGTAATTCTTGTTTTCAATCCCTAGGTAGCTCTACCCTTACGGTAAATTTGAAGATTATTGAAAACTGCGGAAAAATTGCAGAGAACTCGATTAGATTCGGAATTCTAATTTTTTTCTCAATTTAATTATCGTTTTGGTTTTTCAAAGAAGAAATGTTTAAAAATCAGGATTTAACCCAGTGTCTTATTTGAAAATCAACATTTCCATTGTAATCAAAGATTAAAATCTGATTTTTTTTCATTAGATGTGAAAAAATCAAGAATTTTTTTCGACACCTCATAAAAAATAATCCCCCATTTTGCAAACAAGTCTTATTATTTATTTAAGAGGGAAATGTTTGAAAAAATATCAATATTTTTCGAAATTTAATTTAGATAATACTGACTGGGTATGAATTTTTTCAAATTTTTTCCATGCAATTTAGTTGAAAAATTAAAAAACTGAAAATATCCAAAAGTACAGCGTAGCCCGGCCGAAGGGTCGAGCTACTTTAAGCCGTTCAACTAATTCTTTTTTTCGAAAATGAAATTGCCATTGAAATCGACTCAGAAAACCCAACTGTCCCGCCACCTAACGGCCAATGTCAATACCGAGAACCCAGAAAATTGAAACGTCAGCAAATTTCTCGATCGGTAAGAACCGCTCACTCACCAGAAGTCGTTCCAGTCGCATTGACCTTCACAAACGTTCCAGTAAATATAGGAGAGTTTATGGCAGTTGACGTATCCTCCGGTGCCGAATGTTGATTTCTCGTATTATTGTAGTGTCGATGAATTAATGTATACAAGATGCCGAGTTTCTGTGATATCTTCCACCTCAAATATGTCATTTTCGCCCTCGCTATGGTATGTCTTGTTATAAATTAATAATACAAATGCAACTGCTCGATGAAATTCCGTGAGGTGATGTTCAAGCTGTCACATTGGTTCTGTGACACGTTTACAAAAACGTGCAGCCACTCATTCTCATTTTTGAAAGCCTTTCGAGCTTTCAAATTGACGAGAACTCCACCAAATACTCGTTAATTATCATTCGCAATTAAAAACTAATTGACATAACCTCGCTCATTTCAATTATCTAACCTCAAAAAAAGGCAAATATTTTTATTCGATCAATATTTAATTGCTATTAAACACTTGCTCCGAGAAAGTCTTCCTCAATCGATTAACTTTTTTTGAGTAGATAAAATAGTGCCTCATTTCGCAAAATAAATATTTACATTTGACCCACGCCTTTACGTGGCGATTTCACTTTTATAATTATAAATTTTCCATATTGATAGCTGTTAATTCATGTGAACACACGACCAGGCTCGAGCTGAAAAAATATGGAATTTGTATTTGTTCAGTTGGTGTCGCTGTTTTCAAAATCTCAATGATAAGAATAATCGTTTCCTCCTCACTACCACGTACACCATTATCATGTTTCAGGTATCCACGACGCGGAGTTATGTGAATGCCGGTGCGACAAAACTCACAAAGGATAATATTGATATGACACTAGGTAAAGAGAGAGATATAATTGCGATGGGAATAATGACAGAAATCATAATGCGGTAATGCTTTTGCTTCCGAATGGAAGCTTTGTAATCGCGAAAATTTAAGCTTCCGATTTCTTATCTTAGGATAACTAAATACGGTGTGAAAATTCCGAATATCCGATTTTAAATGGTGTCTCTATGTATGTATACATGTGATTTTTTTCATTTTTTTCTCTTAATTTTCTTATAAGGGATCAATTGAATTTCCAGAATTTTTTCATGAATATAGACTTTAATAAGCTCTATTCATTGGCACCAATTAAAATTTAATTTTTTATAAAGATTTGAAAAAATTGATATTTCGAATCGATTTAAAAAATCTCTTCTTCAACGATCACTCAAAAAATTATCATCAAAATGGAATTAGTCATAGTTAAAAAAATTGATTACAGCACCCTCTTGATTCCATCAAAATATGATGGGGGCTGCTCGTTGCTGAGTTACGGAAAAAAAATAGAAGAGAATAGTGAAAAAAGAATGAAAAAAAAAAGAAAATCCATTCGGAAGCAAATCTCTAAATTCTTAGCAACAATAATTATACTCATTTATGAAAAAATGCCATTACCCACTTGTTTTTTTTTTGTTTTCAGCATCCAATGAATTAGTATTTATAAACTTTTATGCTGAATGGTGTCACTTTAGTAATATGTTAGCACCAGTATTCGATGAAGCCGCTGATAAAATTAGAGAAGCCTTCCCCGAGGCTAATAAGGTGGTTATGGGAAAGGTAGACTGCGATGCAGAGTGTAAGTATTTATTTGAATTATTCACAGCGAGGAAGAGGTTGAAGATGAAATATTCAGAATGAAATTTTAGATTGTTTCACGAATATTTTTTAAAATAAGAATTTTAGAGGTTCTTCTCCGAGGTCACTTTCAGTACGAAACTTTGTGGATTAGAGGAAACTATCCAGTAGTCGCACGAATAAAATTTAACGATGTCTGATATATCAGAAGTACGAGAAATAAAAATTCTAGTTTGAAATCGAGGGAGCAAAAAATCTTGAGAATAAGTGAAATTTTTACTCAAATCAAGACAACTTTCCCTTGAAATCATAGAAAAAAGTTGTGTCCATAATTTTTATCCGTGTGGTACTGAGTGCTCTCTTCAAAGGGTTCAAATTTATTCTAAGCAGTAGAAAAAGTAGATTAATGCCCAGATCGATATGGGCCCAGTGTCCATTTGGTTAACAGAACTTGGAGTAACCGGACCTTAATGTTGAATTGATGTTCAATACTACGGAACGTCATCTTTTTCGAATGTTCTTAATTGAAGAATCCAACGGTTGTTGATTGAATGATTCTTTTTATTTTGATAATTTAAAATAATCTCGAATGGCCATTCAGTTTTAAATAGCCTCCAGGACTATTTAAAACTGAGCAATAATCTTTAATATTTCCTGATAAATTTCCCTTTATAAAAGATATTTTAATCCTGAAAAGGCACCGTCTTGTATGAATGATCCGTCGCTTGAGCCAAATATTTTGTTTTTGTTGAAAGCATAGCAGTAATTCATGTTTGAGACTGTCAAATTCGAACCAAACAATTATTTTTTTGGTAATTTTCAACTAATGATTTTGTTGGTCCAAACAAGACTTGTTTGACAACGTGTTCGTTTTTCTCTCAGTGCACTATGCCCTCATGATTGAAAATGTAATTGTTCCAACCATTATGGCGATATTTGCTGTGATTGCTCTTTTAGAAACATTATGCACGATAATTTGAGCAATGTTCGCTGCAGCTGCAGCTATCGAAACGATAATTTTATTAACATGAAGAGCGATATTAAGTATCATATTAATTCTCATTGACAGCTGCGTTGCCGTTTCCCATTGTGGCGGCAGTCGAAGTCAACTACAACGTGATTGCCTGAAGTATTGATAAATTCTAACGGTCGCTACTTCAAATTTTATTATTAAAATTGAATACTTTTCGTACTCTTAAATTCCTGGTTTTCTACTCTAAACCCCCATGAAATTCGGAAGCAAGGTGCTATCGTCACCCTGTATTTAATAAAATTTTTCCGATTTCTATCAATTTTAATGGAAGAATTCAACTGAAATTTATAGTTTCCACTGATTCTTCTATCAAGTTGAACATTTTTTATTACGAAGATCCTTGAAACTTCAGTGAAACTGATTATGAGACAATAACTTCCAAGAAGTGAGCCGAAAATTTCACCCAAACCAAGGGGTAACGGTACTCCTTGCATGTCTTGAATTTTAGAATCATCGTCGTGTCCATAATTATTTTTTTTAGGAAACCAAAAAATTTCAATCATCCATTACTATACTGTGCAGTATCTGAAGTTTTTTGGTTTCCTAAATATCATGGCTATGGACTCGAGAATAACTCAACAATGCAAATATGCAAGGGGTACCGTTACCTCTTTAACTGTGCAATTGAAGACGATCGGCTTTACCCAATTCGTTCCCATATTCTTCCACCGCTGAAATCCTTCACAAAGAAATGTTTTTTTTTCTCAAGATTAATTATTAAAAATCAATTTTACATAGCTTCCGTGGCATCTAGATTCCACATTTCAAAGTATCCCACCTTGAAAGTCATAAGAAATGGAGTGCCAGCTAAGCGAGAATACCGTGGCCAAAGATCAACTGAGGCATTCGTGAATTTTATCACAAAACAGTTGGAGGATCCAATTAAAGAGTTCCATGAGCTTAAGGACCTCAGCAATCTCGATGACAAGAAGAGAATGATCATTGGGTACTTTGACAAGAAGGAAGTTCCTGAGTATCAGACATTCCGCAGAGTGGCGATGAATCTCAAGGACGACTGTCAGTTCCATGTTGGTTTTGGGTAAGATCAACACTGCATTCCAGTCTATTTTCTATTTACAGTCAGGCTCTGTTGCTAAAAAAGATTTCCACTATGAAAAGTATATGATTAATTGCATCGGTCACATTTTATATTTCGTTTTTCTCGAAAAAATGAATAAATTTGATGCATGAAATTGGAAGATTTTGCTGCAATTGGGCCTGAGAGTAAAATAATGATGAATGTATTTAAACAGTAACAATAAATGAATATTATTGAACAAGCACTTGCTCTGATCAAGGCTGTGAGATTGGAGAACTTATTAAACTATTGTAAGTAACTAAATATTATCATAAATATTAATTGTTGAAACCTTTTTCTTGATCCGTTCAGTTAAAAAAAAACTAAAAATTCGATTCACTAATGAATTACCCTTGGGATTGAAAACCTATTGAATGGGAGTGATAAAACATAATTGGTCAATTACAACATCTAATGATGCAGTTGCCCTTGAAATGGTGAAAAAAAATTGTCATCTGAAGAAATCGACCAAGAAAATGTTTTCATCATATTCTGCCCTAAATAACTTATTCTAACAGATATTTTCTTGATTCGTAAATTAAAAAAAACAATTCTGTATGTTTTATCATTTCAGTTGAAAATCGAAATTTTAAACTTCTTATGACTAACTTGTAATTTGTAATAAAAAAAAATTGTAATTTATTTGATAGTGATAGTAGCCAGGCGATGCACCCTCCTGGACAGCCCATAATCGTCTTCAGGCCTGACAAGGCTCTGTCTAACGATGAGGACGAGACCTACAAAGGAAGTTTGATGAACTACGACGAATTGAACATTTGGATTCAAGAGAAATGTGTTCCTCTTGTTAGAGAAATTACCTTCGAAAATGCTGAAGAGTTGACTGAGGAGGGCTTGCCCTTCCTAATTCTTTTCCACAAACCCGATGACATTGCAAGTGTCAAGGACTTCAAGGACATTGTTGCCACTACATTAACTGATGAGAAACGTAAGTCAAATTGTCTACTGCATTTAATGATTTCGGTGAAGGAGTACTGAAACTAAATACATCTACATGAGCGAATCCGCTAATTCTGTATATGAAAAATTGCCTCCAAATTATCAAATTTGTTGTCTATTTTTTATTGAAAAGTATGGTCCAAAACAAGAAAAATGAGCGCAATCGGAGCTCTGTAACTCAATTATTGACGGAGATATTGAAGATATTTGTTAGTTCTTTTAAAAACTATACTTTTAAAATTTTACTTACGAGTCACTATAAGCAACAAAAAAAATGTGAAGCCGTAGATTTTGTCGAGAATTTTCTCAACTTTTCCAAAAAATGTAGTTTCTTAAAAAATGTAGTATCTATGTATTTTGGGATGGAAAACTCAAAAAGAAAGTTTCAAGCCGGTTTATTTTTTTCTTGTTCATAGTGGCTCGTAATTAAAGTTGAAAAAATGGTCCATTAAAGTACTAGGGCACTAATTTCGTTTTCGAAGAATGTGATGTTTACAAGCCGAGCTGAAGGCGAAGACTGTACTCACATTCGTTGATACTCTGAGTTGGACTTATGTGCTTTTGACATTGCAAAATTCGTGGCACAAATGAAGTTATTACGGTGAAGTTATTTTCTTTATTTTTCCCCTTTATATTCCAATTCTGATTTACGTCCTCCGAATATTACCGAAATAATCAATGACAAAAATAGTTGTTTTGCGGACCGACAACGGCCGCGGAGGTATTCCACGTTTTTTCTAGGGAAAAAATCGAAAATATTTATATCACAAAAAGGAGCAGGTGAATCAGAGCCACTTGTAACAATAAGGAAAAACGAATAATGAATCTCTGCTCTTGTTTTTATTCTTTCAGAAAACGTCAATTTCCTCACAGCAGACGGTTTGAAGTTCGCTCACCCCCTCCACCACCTTGGAAAAAGTGCATCAGACTTACCACTAATTGCAATCGACAGTTTCCGACACATGTATCTATTCTCTAACTTCCAAGACATTTTCACTCCTGGAAAATTGAAGCAATTTTTGAAGGATCTGTACTCCGGTAAACTTCATCGTGAGTTCCACTACGGTCCAGACACGAACAGCGAAGCACCCCAGATCGATGGTCAAGCAAGAACCCCAACGACACCACCAGAATCGACTTTCAAGAAACTTGCGCCGAGTAAAAACCGTTATACGCTGCTCAAAGACGAACTTTAAAAAGTGTTACGTGAAGAAAAATCATCAATGATGAACAGATTTGTGACTAATTGTGGTGCGTCAATCAGAAGTAATTTTTTAATCAGTGCAAATTAGGGTTTTTTTACATTAAAAAAAACCCACGAACTTCCAGATCAATTATTTTGTGAATATAGTTGATTGAGAAAAAGCAGAATAAAAAGTAATGTATGAAATAAAAATGAAAAATTTAGAGCCTTACGAGTAAGTCGTCCTTAATGGATGGTAAATTGAGGCACAAGCGTGAATTTAAGAAAAATTTTACATTGCAATTTTGTAGTGAAGTGGGAAAACGTTACACATCAAATTTAGACTCTTCGTCACCGAAGCATTTTTTTCTGAATACGAATCATCTTAAGAGGATGATAAGACCTCTCATCCCAAAATCACTCGTTATCGAAACGATTACATTACCGACGAGATGTGAGAAGTCGACTTGTTCTGTTATGTTTTGTCACTTCGGTGCTGAATTATACATAGCCTTGGAGTTCTATTGATATTTTATAAATCTTTTCCTCATTTGAATATGGAAAAAACTGTATAGAATCAATACTAATTAATATAAAACTAGAATTTTACGTTTATAAAGACAGAATTTGCGGTACGAGTGGATGTGAATTCATAATTGATTATTGTATTCTATTGTTTTTTATGCAACGAAGCCAGATGAGGTTACAGAGGAGAAATAATTCTACTGTCTGAAGTATTACCGAAATTCCTCTCAAGAATGATACAAACCTGGTGATTTATGTCGTACATACGATTTTTTCATGGAACCCAGCAATCGAAATAAAACTAATCCGTCTAAAATTGTGTTTTCAATTACAGACTTTCCAATCCATCGGGTAGAATAGTAATGACTCCGAAAATAAAGGTGTTTTGTTTCATGACCTCTCGAATCATTCTATGACGTATTCCAAGAGATGTTTGCATGTGTATATTTATGCATGTAAACAACATTTTGCTTCCGAATGGAAGCTTTGTAATAATTAAAATTTAAGTTTTGGATTTGTTGTGTTGTATCAACTCATTGAGTTTCAAAAAGTCCGAAAATGCAACTCAAACCCTGTCCGTCGGAATGTGTGTATGTGACGATGTTTTCCTGCAATTTTTCACAAATAAATCTATTGATCATTTAAACATTTTTTATGTAGGCATTCTTGATACGTCGGTGAAATTTCAAAGTCTTCACTGGGCATTGGGACCCATTGAACCCATTGAACAGTTTGTGATATATGACGGAATATGGGAATAACTAGGGAAAATCGCCAACCCGATTGATTTTGCCCCGTATAACCACGAAAAACTTCATTTTTTTGTGGCGCGAGCCACACACGAATTATTATTTCGCAATTCATATAACGCGTCTCGAATATTCGATATCGTCGTATTCGAGACAAACATCATTCTATCCGTATCCGTAACAAAAGGTATTTAATCCCGCGTGCTCCCGACCAAATAGATCAGTCGATCTCAGTCCGATTCTGAAACTCGATGAAAACACATTTAACGTGCTAAATACAACACGTTTATTCTGCTAAACCACGAGTTATTATTCTACGATATACAACCGCCACATTTTTCTTGTCTTTACCCCTCAAAATGCTCTTTGCGCCGTAGTTTTCATACCATTTCAGCTTTTTTTTAAATGTTCGTTACGCTCCAAAGAATAAAGTTAAGTATCCGTTCTACTTTATTCGCAATAAATCATGAATACATAAATTTTTAATTCCATAAATTTGTTGCGTCTCTCGAGTAGAGTAAAATTGTAAATGGTTTCCGAGTGGTTTCAGCAAAATATTTCTTATTCTCAGATATTAGACAATCAGAGCGCAGTCTCCGAGGCTAGTCAACTGTTTTATTTCGGGAATTTTCTCCTAGTTCTGCATTAGTTTGTTCCTCAAAGTGCTGCACTTCAATCGGCCGACATCCGAGTAAAAGAAACATTCCAACCAATACAATTCGTTCTCCGAAGTTAGATTCGTGTGGAAAAAGAGGAAAATAGATTTTCTTGCGTGTATGCAACTAAAAATCAATTAGAACACAAAGAAAATCATTCATCAATTGCGTGAAACACGAATGTTCCGCGTTTCTCACGCACATTGTGATTATCCACTCGAAGTTCCCAACTATTTATCTTCCTTTCAATATAGGAGAGAAATAACAACAATAATTGAATGTTGTGTCCATTATAAAATGGCTGTATTTTAAAGATAACTCGATTACATTTAATACATTCCACCAATGACACACCATCTCTGTTTTTTTATTTTGTTAATATTTTACTCTTTGTTTATACCCCTTATCAATGTTTTTTTTTCGTCTAATCTCCGGATACATGACATTACACATAACATGACTTACATACATGTAACATCACACATACAACACTCTTGTCTCAGCTCTCATCTCTTCTTATTAATATTTTTTGCCACATCTACCATTACGGAACATGAATGAAGCAGACCTCTTACGATATTCTTGAATCGTAGAAAATAGCTGTGGTCTTAGAATTTGATTAATACATAGGTGCGCGATTCCCTCCAAAAATGTAATAGGTAGGATAGTTTTGTGTTAGTCAATTCATCAAGAAAAAAATGTTTTGTTGAAAAAAAAGAAAGTCATTTCAATTACAAACTCTTACCTTTACTTGAAGTTATTCCAATGTCTCTTTGTTGGCGAACATTTAGTAACTGTTTTTTCACAATAATCAGGCAAAATAATCAATACTTACACATGTAAAGTTCAGTAGCGAAGTGATACAATAGAAAAAGTTCTAATTGAATTTTTAAATTCTTCTTTGAAGAGATTTACGGAAAAATGTCACAAGACCTCTTTCGGCGGAAATTTGATGGATAACAAAAAAGGTCTTTTGGTATTTTTCCCTGAACCTACTAGTCCTAGAGATGTTTACAAAATTATTCGGTGACAATTTGGAAACTTTGTTCGCTTCTTTGTTACAAGATTGTTTTCCTTCTTCGAAAATTCTGATTTCGAAGTATCCACCCACTTCACTGCTTACTACAATACATTGCATTGCACATTACACTGAGAGAGCATCTTTACAACTTATTACATATTTATGAATGATTCCTCTTGTTCCCGAAAATTGCTTCAAAGAAATCAGTGTGCATCATGGAGAAACTCAGCAGTTTGTACATTAATAATTCCTGAAAACTCATGGGATTCATCAAGAGAAAAAACAGCAGGTTAATCTCGACGAGCAGTTTCTTCAATAATAGTTATTATAGCAGAGTGAGAAGATTAAGTGTATGAGCACTTGTAAAAAGTCTAGAGTGAAAATATAGCTTTCGAATATCCAAGGCTGCGTTTTCACAGTTCAGCCATCAACAGTTATATTGCACATTGAGACTATACGAGGAAAATGCTTCCTGATATCTTTTTAGCATACTTCATTATAATAATAATGAATTCAAGTATTTTTAGTCTAGAAAAATAACTCCATGAATCGTCGAAATTATGAATTTTTATCGTTCTCATTCGTTTCCATTTTCAATTTTTTTTTGTTTGGAAAAAAAATTGATCAAGAACTTTACGATATTGTTTCCTCTCATTACCTTTCTTTGCACTTATCAGTAATTATAGATGTCATATACATATACTTCTTCATATACATAAACATATGTTTATTCACGATATCACCGTCATTTTTTATATTACCACGAACCACAAATGGGGCCTTCATTTATCTTTCTTGTACTCGATCTCATTTTGTGTTTTATTTTCAATAAATTAATGAAAGACATTTTTTTATTATAATATTTCGCCAACATTGCTGTCCCTCAACCAGGTATATCCGTATACTTCTACTGCTGTTTAGGCCATTCCCATAATTTTAGAAATATTAAATAATAGTTGTAAAACCTAATGACACACTAAATGAAAGGAAAATCTCTTGATAATATTTCCCCGTTCTCGATCGGTTTTTCCTGCTCATCATTTTTAACAGCTTGTAAATTTTCTTCATAACATGATACAGTACACAACGCAACATAAATCAGTAAAATGAATAATGTTGTCAATTTCAAGCACTTATCCGATTTAAACTCCAAGTAACAAATCGAAACTGTGGTAGGCTTGTTCGATGGAGTCACCTACATTAACGGCTACATTTTTTTGTTCAAGTAAAACGTTCAACATCTAACGATTAACCGTAATATTTTTCTCATTATCTTGTTGCACTATTTTTGACACGATTTTATTTCGGTTAAGTATAACTTTCAGGATCTCATTTTCGCGAACTCACTTTTTGAAGCCTAATAAATGATAAATTTGTAGGTGTACAATTCAGTGCAAAAATGTTCTGCATCCTTTTTTTATAATTCAACATTCAGCAATTTAGCACGAGATACGATCCGTAGGTTTTTTGCGATAACATTACATTTATTAACAGTAATGATACCATCTAATGTTATTTTTTTCAAGTTAATTCAGTTACTTTTCATATCTATCGTATATATTTATATTTCATATATAATGTATGACATTTGATTATTTCTCTTGCAATTGTTTTCTGAACGCATTTGATATCAGCTAAATTATTCTTTCTCATTTATCAATTTTAAGTATAATAATTCTTGTTTGTTTCTCATAATGATTGAGTGACGGAGTATTTAAAAAAGCCATGAGCATTTTCGTATAGTATGTCTACCGGGGAGTAATTAATTTATTTAATCAACTTATACATTACTTTATAATATCGCGCAATGTTGGGATAGAAGTTTAGTCTTTAGATCAACATTTTAGCTCAATTGCGAATGACCTGCCTTTTCCCCCGAGATGACTAGTTTTAATACGTTATCGGCTCTAAAACTCTAAAGTAGAATTAACAAAACTCTAGTTTAACTTCAAGTTTCAGATTTTGAAGCTCGACGAATTCCCACTTTGCTATTTTCAACTGGAATCGTCCCTTCAACTTCTTTCAAATCGAAGATTTTGCTGTGGGTAATTAGCAATTGAGTGGCAATGTTGTAAAAAATTGAAAAACGTTAAAGAATTAAAGGAAGACCTTAATCGTACATAATATAACAATAAATGGTAGATGATATATAATCTAATCACAAATGACATTGTTCATGTTCACGTTTGGGACGACCTGTATTTTCGACTCATAGCCATACATATAACAATATCAATGATTCCTCTGTTTCAGATAATAATGGATGATATATTTTCATTAAATACGAATTACAGATTGGCGTGCGTGGAATTGTTTTTGAAAGCTATAAAAATATGTATTTTTATTAGACCGTGATGAAAATATCATATCTCCGAATATATGGAAGTTCTGAAGTAATGAGGGAGTGGGTGGAAGGAGTGCCGAATCAGATCGTCAGATTATACAGAGGTAAACGGTCAATTACTATAAATAATTACATCGATTCATAAAACATTGGATAGTCACGCCGGCCGGATTTTTCATTTAGAAATATACAGTAATTATGTTTTATAATTCTTTCCATATTTTTATATTTTCGTAAATAATTCAAGACGTGAACACGTAGACGGAATATCAATTAATAAATCAATTCAATAGAATATTCATAGATTGAATCGTGCAACGTGTTCGATAAGTAATATTTTCTACAATCTCATTAAAAATCATGTTATTCTTTACAAATTTCGTGCAAAAAATACATTGACAGCCATATTAAACTTTTTTTTTCTCAATAAGTTTGACAAAAAACAGTGAACACTTTGTGGGCCTCTTCACCGGCCAATTGGGCAATAAATAACATTGCAAGCAAGGAAAATATTCACTTAGGCATATCGAATTATCAAAATAAATACAAAATGGACAGATCAAAATTTTTCAACTCAATTAATCTTAAAACAACTTCAAAGCAATCAATTAATTTCCGCTATTTCTATTACCTCAACCGTTCTTTTTTTTATGGAAACGATAAACTTAGGCCGTCCAGGTATAAACCCGTTCGGATAGATGTAATTTTTTGTTTAAATCTGTCAGATATTGTCATTGGGACGTTATGAATTACTATTTGAGTTGGCTCATCGCGATTATCTCCCCTTCGACTCCATTAAAATCTCTGATTGATCTCATTGGACTCTTGAAAAAAAATACATCCCTTTTTTAAAATTATTTTTATATTCCAGAAATGTCTTTTGAGGTACATTATATTTTTCATTTGTATTGCTTTGTCAATATGTCGTTTCAATATTTCCTTATACTATTCTTCAAATATCTTACCCGCTTACTGAACATCATTGAACACTTATCTAACATATAAATCCCGAAGAGATAACCGGAAACGTCGATGTAGCATTTCAATAATTTAACATTTCATAACCTCTTTGCTACCCTCGGGATCTCTCAGCGACCTTGAGTCTCATTCCATCACAATGATAATGTAAAATATGAATATGATACCATTTCATTTAGTAAATATATCTATTATATATTTCTCTTAAGCAATCATCAGAATGAATGAACGTAACATTATTGTCTATCTCTTCTGTTAAATAATCGACGTTACCGATGACAACAACGGCATTTTTCCCATCAATCCTTTCTTATACGTTTCATCGAAACAGTATATCCTATTAAATCCGTTGAGTCTGTTTTGTTCTATTAATAATTGATTTCTCTGTATTTCGCACCCTCAACGTATTTATTTTCTCATATGGAACAACAAAAATATCCATGTCTTATACATTGTACAATAATACCATCAATCATCCTACACATCTACTTGCATATTTTCTCATATCAAATCGTAATGCGTGAACAATTCTTGATGCTCAATACCGTATCCAGTGTTTATTTTTCCTCTATTTTTCGCCATTGGTTATTCTGCTTCAGTGGTTAATTCATCCAGAATCGGGTTAATTGCGTGCGCGATATAATGGCGGGTAGAGTTGTTAGAGTGTGAAGTGACGAAGATAATAAATTTTCCTCCATACGAATGTAATCCGAGTGTGAAATGATTTGTTTGTATGCTGAATCCTCGGAAAATCATTTCTCAGGATTTGAGAATGTCTCCTGTGTTTCTAAATCAGTTGACTCATCTAATTTAGTCACCCCTAGATAGTCTATTGAAACAATTGCCATTGTGCAGACTCTTAACATTAGCGAAATTTGTAACGTTTTATAGAGACGAAATATTCGCCTTCTATGTTTGTTCATGTATAAAAATTATTATTACACTATTTGAATATCTCAAATCCCGAGAAGTGCCTCTAGCAAATTTGGCTAAATTGTTATATGTATACCAATGAAAATTAGCAGGTAATCAATTTTTTAAATTCAATAATCGTTATCAAACACTTTTTTCAACGATTCTTAAACTTGGATGCCGTTCGAAATTGATCGATGACTTCCAATGTCAACTTATTTTTCCCCCTTTCTTACTGTGGAGCATACATTTCACAAAAGTACACGCTAACCGAAGCTCAGTTGATTGTTTCTGGAGCAACCTTGTTCTTAAATTTAGTGAACTAGCTTAGAATATAAATGAATTTCTTCTTTTTTCTTATCTTTGTTTCAAAAAATAAGTAGAAACTGTTTTCATGTTAATTTATGTTTATCTGTTGAGACCGCTGAAGTGCATGTGTACATTATTACAACATAGCACAGCGTAAAGTTTGTGAATTTGTTCATTTTCGTATGGAACTCGTGTTATTTTGTAGATTTCATGGTTTAGTTAAACAGATATTTGAGGAACGTTCTTTGTGGATGTCAACGTAATCTCATCTGTTATTTTTTGTTATACATCGTGTTCTGCTCGCACCGGTAAATAACTTCCATGAATACCTAACTCGAGGAGGCAATGATCCATTACGATGAAAAGTACGTCGAAAACTAATCACGTTTTTTTGATAAATCGAGGATTTGCTGAGTTGGTTGTCTCGTCGTGGTAGGGACACACTCATTCATGGTAGTTTCTTTTTTGGTTTAGGGACTTCTGAGTCGATTGCTCTCAAAGCATACCTGGAGTAATGCATTTTGCTTCATTATTAGAGTTCATTGTTGTTTATCGTGGTTTCCTGGAGTTGCGGTTTCGTTTCTGGCGTATAAACTAATTCTTGGCTGTCAGGATTGTCACGAACTCTGAATAAAAAGTATTAGAAATATTGAATTATCATTTCCAACGATTCCGATGAGCATTATAAATCGAGAAATACGAAAATACAATGTTTTCCATCAAAATCCAATGACGGAATGTTCGCGAGAAAAATTTTTTAGTTTTCAGGGATGTATCTGTAATTCCAACCTCCTTTAGCGTAAAGCTTCATTAGCTAAAAGAAGATTAACTTCAAAGTGCCTTGTAGCGCGCTATCCTTGTTTGACTCTCAAACTGCAATGGGCGCAGCAGCGCCAATAGTGCTTGAAGATACCACAGCTAAAGGATAATTGTCAATTGTTAATAGCTACTTTAAAGCTAACGGAAGGTGAATAAACCGGGCCTAATTTTTTAGTGACACTCACTAGAATTAATCATTCAGAAAATTGGCGTTAAGAATTTTCATCACTGAAATGTTGAGATAAAATCCGTAAAATTAAGAATAAAAATGTTACTGAGTCTTAGTAGCAGGTGACATTTTTGATTGAAGAAGAATAGGGGAATGAGGAGTTCATTACATAGAAAATACATTACCACATTGTTTGCAATTCACACAGGATGTTTCTACTGGCTTTTAGATAATGAACTATTCGACTCTATTAAACTCTTCTAACTATTCAACTAATTAACTCTTCTAGATTCTCTTTCGATGTGATTAATCATGAAAGATGATGACGTAGTGCTGTGTTCATCACTGTCACCATAAGAGTCCATATATGTACAAGGACCAAATTCAATAATTATTATCATTATTTTATCATCTTCGAATAAAATACCTTAATTCTAAGGAAGTACTCAATTTAAAAAATAATAATCCTTTGGAATCAGAGGAAATGCTCTCATCAACTCTATTAATAAATTTACTCGGAATAGATGCAGCTTACCTTCGTAGTTGACCATTCCATCTCCATCAAGGTCAGCTTCTTTAATCATATCATCAACCTCCTCCTCCGACAATTTTTCACCGAGATTCGTCATCACATGTCGCAATTCCATTGATGAAATCAATCCATCATTATTCTTATCGAAGACTCTGCAGACGAGTGAAAGAACAATAAAAAAGTCGAAAAGGAAAGGTCTTGAACTTCACTGAAAACTAAATACTCACCTGAATGCTTCCCGGAGTTCATCCTCCCCATCTGCTCCCTTCATTTTCTTCGACATCATCTGAAGAAACTCATTGAACTCGATGGTCCCATTCCCATCTTGATCCACTTCGTTAACCATATCTCGAAGTTCCGTTTCTGAATCATTTGAAAATATTTTACATTCCAATTAAATTGTCGCTCTTGACAAATATCTTTCAACTTCTACCAACATTTTACAATTTAACTCTGGAGCATTTCATAATTATACCAGGGGCAAGATTAAGGACATCGTCAAGTGGAAATGAAAGTCAGAACTAAATACAGAATACGAGATTTTCATATTCCCCGTAGATTGATGCAAATGGACAGGGAGAAGTCATCAACAGAATGGAGAGCCATAATTTCCTCAAGTGCAAAATTCCGCCACACCCTCAACCCTCGACTACTGGAAAGGAACCCTTCATCTTCACAGCATAAGTAATTTTTCCATTCACCGTCGAGCGCTCTCGACTTCTTGCACTCCAGAAAGCACAAAAAAAAATCATTAAAATTGAGATGAATTACAATTTCTTACCTGACGGTCTCTGGCCGAGTGATCGCATGACAACCCCGAGCTCAGCCATTGTGATCATACCATCCTCGTCCTTGTCAAATAGCATGAATGCCTCCTTGAACTCTGCAATAATAAAATAAATTGTAAATACACACATCATCCAAATATTCATGAGGTAGGTGGGTGGAGAGTGATTCCATAAATTCTCACGTATGGCCAAATCATAAATAAAATGAGTTGGACACGAATAAAAAGAATCAGGCGACTGTTTGGCGACGTTGTACATGAGTATCCCAAGCAACTCTCCAACAATTTCGTCTGGCACCGATAACCGTTTTCACGAGGAAGGAGAAATGCGGGGAAGGGCGGCAATACTCTAGCTCGCGATTTTGCCTTTACCTATTAATCACCAACTTGTATAGCACATACGTACTAGCATTCCATGTAATGCCGAGGTGCATGATACAACAGCGATGCAAGCAAGCATGGGCACACGGCCAGGATGCACTTGAGACACCATTGTACCAAAAACGATCTTATAAATCTTTATTGCTCAAGGTATCTAGAAAATTGTCACTCTCGCTGGTCTTGGGATTAGAAAATTGTCGGTGCAATTTTGGCAATGGTTCGAGTGCTATTCAGAACTCTCAAAAGTATGTGGAAAAAGTGAAAACTGAAAAAAAAATGTTTTCACCTGGAGCCAAAGGGTCAGATTTTTAGTTTTTCCAGGGGGAAAGTCGACTTTCGCCAAAATCGATTTTTTTAGCCGGGTAAACGTTAATTCCAACTATTTAAGCGACGGGCTATGCAGAACTCTCAAAAGTATGTGGAAAAAGTGAAAACTGAAAAAAAAATTTTTTCACCCGGAGCCAACGGGTCAGATTTTCGGTTTTTCCAGAGGGAAAGTCGACTTTCGCCAAAATCAATTTTTTTAGCCGGGTAAACGTTAATTCCAACTATTTAAGCGACGGGCTATGCAGAACTCTGAAAAGTATGTGGAAACAGTGAAAACTGAAAAAAAAAATTTTCACCCGGAGCCAACGGGTCAGATTTTCGGTTTTTCCAGAGGGAAAGTTGACTTTCGCCAAAATCAATTTTTTCAGCCGGGTGAACGTTGATTCCAACTATTTAAGCGACGGGCTATTCAGAATTCTCAAAAGTATGTGGAAACAGTGAAAACTGACAAAAAATTTTTTTCACCGGGGGCCAATTTATTAGTACATTTTTGTTCAGAAATCGGACAAAAAGTCGATAAACCATTGAAACTGAATATACGCTCTATTGGCTTTTACAAAAAGGTGGTTTTTGACACTTACACCCCTTTGGTTATACGCCGCCGAAGAATTAAAACGGCCAGTCAACGAATATTAACATCAATTGTGAATAGTTTAACGTCGATTTATTTTCATATAGTCAGTGGTCACCCATCCAATTAGTGAGGGTACAACATGTTCCCATTTGTAAGTCCCGCGGAACGATTAAATAAGTAATTTTCATGGTTATAATGCGTTTTGAGTTGTCCCGGGCCTTTAACTAAGATTAATTATTTGATTAAGTACCTGAAATAATTCTTATCGTGACACTGTCCATAAAACACTATTTATGACCACTTCGCGTCCTCCAAATGCCGTTTACAGACAGTGCGAAGATAAATTATTTTCGCTACTCGCGTGCGTATCGAGAAGGACATATTTACGCGCTTGTAACACAATGAACTACTTCGCTGTTTTTATAAAAGTATATGGGACATGTAATTATACGATTTGTTATTTCGACGATTCGACTGACTGAAACTCTTCTGATTTTTGACTCCTGTGTATCGTTATTCAGTTGAGCACGCTTCGGGGAATTATTCGCCGTGCATTCAATCGAGTCAAAAAAGTGAAAAAAGAAAAAATGTTTGTTCATTCTTTAAAATTATCTGTGCTCTGACAGAAAGGATTAGTTATTGTTAACGAATGGATTGGATTGGAGACGAGGGTCTATTTGGTCTCACCAAATGTTCATTCGTTAATAGTTAAGGAAAAATATCGTTCGCGCCTAGTGCCACAGGGGTTTTCGATGCGAAATATACTATTTCACTCTGATCCTGTAATGCAAAACAAAACAAAATATAGCAGAAAAACTTGTCCAATTGTTTTGATAGAAAAAATCTCAAGAGAAAAATTCAAATAGAAAAATCCAAATCTATTGACTTCCTCCTATCAAAAATCTACTAGAATCTGCGCAAAAAATAAACAGAATTTCAACGAGAATTCCCTACATTTTTAATATAATGCTCATAGAATTTCCAGAGAATTCCAATAGAATCTTCCAACGAATCCGCCAAGGTGTTCTACTGAATTTTTTCATACGTGATGTATCTGAAAATCAAAATTTTGCTCCCTATGAGTAATATAACATCACTTTCTCCGAATCAATTCGCATAATGATTTTTAAATAATGATGTACTCAAAAATCAATTGCTCATCTGATTTAGAACGAACAAATTTTCTGAACCTTGAATTTTTTTCCAGGTCACCCAGCCCTTGGCTAACGACACTTATCACTGCTCAGCTTTCCACAACTCAACGCGTCTCCCTTATTGACTCGTCACTGAGCTGCACACTCCATGAAACAATCCAAACAAATCATTCTTTATGGATTCATTGAAATGACCCATAATTCACGAGTTAACAACCTTCACTTCGAATTATACTAGATCCCCGAGCATGATTATTTGTCTAAATGCTCCAACCAATTATTCCCCACCTTTCTGCCACACTCCCCATACCAAGCGCATCGCAAAATTTACACGGTGAAATTTTATGTATACCCCACTCCCATGTTACAACAAAGCAACATAAAAGACTTTATAGCTTCCTGCCGCAAAATTACCGTTTGCCAAGAGCTCTGCAATACTAAATTCTCGCATCCTGGTATCTGTTGTATCCAATTGTGTATCAAGTGGGATTTACAACAGCCGGGGAGATTCGACCCTCTTCATAAACCCTTGAAATCGAATTTCTACGAATATCCCCCGGAAGTTGATGCCTCGAGTGGGTATTGGAAGGGTCTAGCGCCAATAGGGAATTTCCAAAATGGGATTGATTTCTCATTCCTAGTGCCACCAGTGTTTATATGTAATTTTAAAGCAAATAGGCGGCCCTAGACGGCCTAGTTTCTCCAGTCAAACTTTAATCATCTCCTGCCAAGGATAACTAACTTCTTAATAAACTGATGCATATAAATTGCGTCGTATTCGGTTACCTATATTCATGAACATCTAGGGCTTGGAACAGGCCTCACCAGTTCATGTTTCAAAGTTGAAGAGAATTTATTATCGCAGGATATATGCTTTTTTTCCCGAGGACAGTTGCTATCGTTGAAATTTATTCGCTGAACGTCGCGACACGAAACAGATTCACAATTGAACTTTTTTTTTCTGGAGTTGACGTACCGAGTGATACGGAGATTGACGAATAGGAGGTGTACTCGATGTAAGAAGCTAGTGCTTAAGCTACTCAATGGCTTGGAATTTATCCTTCTCTTTGACAATACCAATATCTAGAAATGTTTTCATCATTGGATGAGTCTTTGAATATGTTTGAGCATTGGGAACGCATTCATTCTTATTGCATTTGGGGCTGTGAATTATATTTATTGTCTCACCGCCGTTGTCTCTTGTTATAATATAGGGGAGGGTCGGGCGAAATGAGACGTGTTGAGATCTTTTCCAATTGTCAATATCTTCACTCATAAATGGAGATATTGACTAAGAGACAAGATCACGAAACGACCCATTTTGCCCGATTCTCCCTTATTGTTAAATATTTTCAGTTTAATTATTCTTTATTTCTTTAAAATTGATGAAAATTGAGAAAATTCAGAGAAATCTCTCCTTGAATTCTAGATTCCTAGGAATTTTTAGAGAATTCCTTCAAAAATCATGGAATTCCAAGAATTTTATAGAAATTCCCTGAAAATTCAAGGGAATTTGGCAGTGAATATTCGTACTCACTTGATTATTTTCCGAGCCTGGATTTCCTAAAGTAAATTGTTATTCCGAGGAGGAGAGAGGAGACTCAGTTCTATGGTGAAGAAGGAGGGAGGCATGTGTAGATGTAAAACAAAGAAAAACTTTTGTAACATCAAGGAAATAAAGAATTGAATAGAATTGAATTCACTTTTTAGACCATATTTAGTTACCCTGACACAAAAATTGGGAAATTTAATTTTGAGCGATTACAAAGTTTCCATTCGGAAGCAAAAACGAAATTAGTTTTTCATTCAGCTTCATTTTTTAATTAAAACACTGGAACAAAATTGACCAGAAGAAAAAAACGAATGAAGGAAAAAAAATTAATTAAATTTTTTTGATAAAAAAATCATCAACTCAATTGTTTAAAATAAAAAAGAAATAAAAATGAAGAAAATGAAAATGTTTTTTTTTTAATGAAAAAATTATCGCTTCAGTTTTCGAATGAAAAAAATTGATATAAAACATTAAAAATATCCCCGGAGAGATTTTCTCAATGCAATTATAATAAAAAAAGAAAAATCCGCGTGTCTGCGATAAACTATATTGGGCTGCTGAAAATATTATTTCTTCACTGTACTCTACGCCGAATCTATTTTGAATAATCCTGAAAAACGTGAATCAAGATTATAGTCATGTGCATGAAATTCTACATTTCCCATTTCGAAATACATTTAGAAAAAGACATGAAAGTTTCGCATGAGTTTAAATAAATCCATAATCTACCTCCATTTACAGCGAGATATTTAAATCAGATATTGGACCCGTCTTATTTTCGGATTCCACATTAAACTCTGAAGCTTAAATGTTTTCATTTACATTGCTGTGGGATTTTTTCGAAGGGGAAAAATCTGTGCCACATGAGGCAGTTTGGGGTGGTTTGCCACACGTGAACCAGTCAAAAGAACTGTGGATATTTACGTATGTAAATGACCATGTAGCACAGCCACTAACCGCGAAATGCCATGCACGTTTCACCAGGCTCTTTCAACACATACATTTCTCCCTGTGCGGTTGCCCATTCGCTTTTACTTTATGAACATTTTAATTACTTTTCACAGTTGTAATCAGGGAAAATTGAAATCCTTAATGAAATGGTGACGGGAAATTTTACGAAAATTGTTACTCACCTGCAACCTGATCCTCCGTGAGTCCATACTCCGACTGAAACAGACAAAAATGAAATTGCAAAAGTCATTAGATATTAATTTACGAGTGTTGAGGTATGAATTTCTCATTTGCATCGCATAAATTGGCGTTTCAGTGTAAATAATAATGATGAGGATTTAACAGACATTAACTTTGAATTCCTAGCTAAGTCGAGAGGGACTGAAGTCACTCGGTGTTTAGGGATGCGCTCTCGTTGAAGGCTAAATCGTGCTCCACTGACAACAAAGTCGAGCTGTCCGTACCGAGAGCTAATTGGGTCATTAAAAGTTTCTTTGCTTACCCGAATACCCAACTCTGGGATTGTAGAGCCAGTAGCCAACGGCAAATACTTTTACGAATGGTTAATTAAGTGATATATAGGTCTCCACGTCTATGTGACATTTTACGAAAATTCAGTCGGTTCATCTATTCGAACGAGGAAACTTATCACACAGCGATAATGATAATAGAGGAGTCACATTACTGAATTCATTCATTAAATGCTGGTCATGCTCAATAATTTTTGAATTTATTGAATGGAGTAATTTCTGTAATGATAGATTAAAGGAGATATGTCGGAATCAGTGGAAACAGCTGAGAGATATATTTTTGGCTGTTGCGACTGAAAATTTACTTCAGCCAAATAAATAGCTCCATTCATCCGGCAAATCGGTCGATTAATTGGAAGAGATGATTTCTGTTGAACCGAACGCAATTCACTAGTAACCTTTAGGAAATTCATTTGTGTTGGTTGGAAGAATTATTCTAGACATTAAATAACAAAAAGTGAGTCCAAAATAGAAGTACATGTCATTCTGTAATGACATTTATGGAATGGAGACGTTCAGTCAAAAAGATCAAAAGATGTTGTTTGGAGAGAATTTTCTAGACTATACAAAATAATAAACTCAGAATTTGTCTGTAAACTCCAACAATTGTTTTTATTTTGAGGAAAAAAAATCATAAATTGTCATGTTTGAGATTGTTTCCAAAAATAAATTTAACACTCCGTTGGTCGCACCGAAGCGCCACGCCGCACCCGTATAAATTGACAGAATGATAAATTTGAAACATCGAGGAAAAATCTGAAAAAAGTGAAGAGTAATCTGGATCGTATAGGGGAGGGTACGGCAAAACGGACCGCAGGGCAAAACTGACCTCTGACAGAAAATTGGTAATTTTTGTATTTTTTTTCTTTCCTTCCAATCAAGAACATTGAATGTGTTGAATTAAAAGTGAGATTTTGGATCGTCATCGTCACAGGGGTTTAATAGAAAAGAAGTGTCGTTGAACCGCCAATTGATTAGATTTGCTAATTTCCTTAAACCACAAATTACTTTGAATTTTTGTTTCTGTTTCCATTCGGAAGCAAAAATGAAAATTATCAATTTTCTGTCAGTGGTCCGTTTTGCCCTACCCTCCCGTACTTGAATAAGTCCCGTGAGATTTTCTATGTTCAGTGTTACCCTTAATTATTATAAATTCAAGCTCAAAGTTGTCATGTTTTTCTGAAAATTCGACTTATACACGGTACATGACCCGAAGTTTCGGAATAAAAGTTTGAAAATCTAACTACTTATGATATTTTTGGTGGATATTTTAATTGATAGGGGTTTTAGAAACTTCAAAATGAGATGTCAAATTTTTTCAAATTAAAAAAAAATGGCGCAAATTATTATTCATTAAAATTTTTCCATTATCACAAAATGAACCAAAAATGTTCTGTTATTTTGCTTCAAGCCTGCAAGTTTTAAGGATATTTTTGAAATATCCTGTATACACAGAATTCCAGGATTTAATCCCTCTTATCACTCAGCTACAAATTCGACTGAAATTAACGAGTCTCTACGTGAATATTCATGAGTACACAGCACTCCAAATTTCTAATCCCCAAGAGCTGATTTACTGACTCCACTGATGATCAAAGACGGATATTACCCCCTTCCCCTTCTCAGTATCGACCGTCCAGCAAAAGCTCAATAATCTGATATACGTTGCCTCCTCATTCAGTCACAGCCTAGCACATACGCTCCACCTCTATGAAATCCGCAAAAACACGAAATCACCTGAAATATGCATTTCCCAATGAATAATTGATGCCATTCCTACGATGGGTGTATTTGTGGGTGAAACTATTTGGTCGCGTTTCACTTCCGGCAACCTGCATCCAAATGGTCTCTTTCCTCATCTCCATCCATATATCCACAAATTATAAATAGGAGTAATCGACAGATGAGCCAGGGAGCGTGCACAGCCATCGTAAAACCGGATATCTACGTTTTTGTACTCACACCTCTGCCTGACACCCTTATCTCACTCACCTCACGCACATTTCGTTTACGATTTATTTTTTATTGCTTTGAACGTAAAAAAATGCATTTCGAGGCGATGTTATCTGCGGTGCTTTATTACTTTATAACGAGTGTATAACCGTAAATGAAAGAGTAACGTATGTGGAGCCATTCTTAATCTTGGATTGGCCACCATATGAGGGAACGCAGTAGCACGTCGTTTTTCTTTAATAGGACTAGAGGCTGCGTATAAGATACCTTAGGGACAGTAGGAGAGTGGAATTCCGGGAATCCCTATGCCCCACTACGCTCGCCCATAGAGAGGAGAAAAATAGGGATCAGCGGGTTTCAAATAAGATACCTCGCTCGTTGCGCCCGAATTCAATGAAATTTTCATTTTTACTGAATGAAAATTGATAACTAATCAGTTTATATGTGTTTAATGTTTTGAATTTGTATCGCCCGCGTTCCCTTTTCTCTCTAAACATAACCCCGCGTGATGGAATGTCAACTAATATTGGGGGATTGTTGGTGGACTCGAGAATTATCACAGATGAAAAATTACGATTTTTCGATGGGAAAAGTGAAAAAAAAATCGATGTATATTTGCATTACTTGAAAAAAGTGGTATGATCCCCCCTTTAGGTCATTAGACCCTCATGATCACTTTGGTCGTCCCTCCCGTTTGACCCTTAACACAGTTTGATCCTGATAACTACTCTCTTCCCGTGTAAAAATGACCGGGGCCATATATGCGTCACCGTCGCTCGCCTTCGGCTCGCGCGGCTAAAGTTCATTTCGTCAACGAGTCTTTTTACGGTGCTTGACCTGTAATATACTATTTCGTATAGAATCCCATAACAGCTTCAAAATTATCAGGGATTTCCCGATAGGTTCGTTGCAAACAAACGAAGGAGTCAAGTTTTGCAGGTTAAAAAATCATGAGTGCGAGGCGCGAGGGATTTTTCCTGAAAAACTTGACGAGCTCATTTATATGCAGGGAACCTTCACAGAGATACCTGATTATTTTTGAAGCTCGAGTGGTATTCGGAAGAGAATTTTTCCATCCAAATTTCGGCCAAGAGAATTGCACTATTCAATATATATATCAACATGAAAAATTATCAGTTGAATACCGTGTTGACTATATAAAATAACAGTCGAATAGTAGAATTCTATTCGTTGAAATTTGGATGGGAAGAATTCTCGTCTAAATTTTTCGTGTCAAATCCCGGAAATTTTTATTATGTTTAATTTCCATGGAAGTTTCAGGAAATCTTATCTTTGAAAAATCAAATACTTCATTGATTTTCTGTACAAATAATCTAAAAATCAATAAAATGTTGAAATTTTCAATTCAATTATTTCGGATTTCAGCCAATCAGAGCGCAGTGTTTGAGGCTGTCAAACAGTTTTATTTCGGAAATTTCTAAAAGATTTCCGACGGAAATTCACTAGTAGCTTTTCAAATGTTTCTCTTTCGACGCATTTCACTTTTAATATTCTGTGTGACAGATAAACAAAAAAGTGGGTTGTAAATGTATGGCTGTATAAATGTATCGGGATGCTGTTCACTGCACTCTGCTTGGCCGAAATCCGAGTGGAAAAATAATCCGTGAAATGCCACGCGTGCTTCAAAATTAATCGGATATTTTCCTCAAGCTTCCCTGCCTAGGAACGAGTGTGTCAAATTTTGCAGGTTTAAAATTCCGAGTGCAAAGCACGAGGGATTTTTCAGCAAAATTTGACAAAATCGTTCCTAGACAAAGAAGCTATCGGAAAATATCCGATAATTTCGTTTTTATTACTCAAAATGAGTCGGAAATTCGGATTGATTGCACCACACGTTTCCTATTTGAATCGAGTAGAAAATAGTATATTTCTAACCGGGAGAGACAAAATAAAAGAGTCATGTCCACGTGCGGAATTACCACTCGCGCCTTCAGTTCGAGGGGTAATTCTGCACGTGGGCTTGTGAAATCGGACTTGGCGCCTACGCAAAGTCACAACTTACGGTTCTAACCACCGAAGTTAAAATAAAGGACCCTTACCCACGTGTTTAGCACAAGTAATCCTTTACGTCAGCACGACTAATTATTCATTTTACCTCCCTAATTATGCATTTCCCCTCCACCTCCTCCCGAAGTCCGAATTTTCGAAATTTTTTTTATTTGACAATTTTATTTTTTTATTTAATTAACGCATGCGAACGGAGGGATGGGGGTGGCTCAGATAGACTCCCCAACCCTCCCCCCTTGTTGAGTAAAATTTTCAGCCCTCCCGTATTATGCATTCCCCCTCCACCTCCCCCCGAAGTCTGAATTTTCGATTTTTTTAAATTTAATTAACGCATGCGAACGGAGGGATGGGGGTGGCTCAGATAGACTTCGCGACCCCCTCCCCTTGTTGAGTAAAATTTTCAACCCTCCTCTATTATGCATCCCCCTACACCCCCTCGCGAAGTCACAATGTTAAAATTTTTCGATTAAATTTCGCAATTTTATTTTTCATTCAAATAATGTATGCATATGGAGGGGTAAGGGTGTGTTAAACATATTTTGTCATGTTCTGTAATTATTTATAAAAATTAGGGGTAAAAAAAGTAAATGGGAAAATGTTCGAGACGCATTGTCCACTCTGATATTTATCAACAACGCAGTTTTGTTGTTTCCCGACATTTTCGTGGGCGTCCAGTCGTGGTGGAGAAGGTCCGCTGTTCGATATTTCGAAATCTCCCGCCTCTCTCGTCTACCAACACGAGGTCAGCGTCGGAACTGGGTCGCGTTGCTTTTTAAGCATTTCCAAGGGGGAAAAAACCCGTCGTATAAATTCTGAGAAACTGTCTCTCTGCAGTGAAAACGTCCGGGGATAGTAACATCCACTGGAATCCACGAGTCAACGGAATGTCAGACACTGGTAGTCTGCAGACATGCATGACTATCGTAATATTTTTTTTGTTTTCACGTTTTGTTTGTATTGGCAGGCTACCAACAGTTGAGGGTTATAAAGAGGGAGAAGAGATGAGAAATGTTTATGACTCGGTCATCGATATTCTATCAGGATGAATGAAACCAGAAGACTTACGCTGATTTGTCGAATCTGGGGGTCGATTGTGCTGGTCAGTCGCCTCAGTCTTCCGTACTCCACCGAGTAGTTCTTCTCAGTATCCGCCATTACTTCCAATTATTAAGTAGAACTGTTATTGTATTGAAAGAGTAAAACGTAATAAGTCAAATTGTTTCGTTCTCTCTACTAAAATCGAATTATCTCAAGAGTTCATTATTTTAGAGAATTTCCTCAGCTACAAAAGAGGTAACATGTTGCTCTGAAACCACTTGATTTCGAGATAATTCCATAAGTAGCGATAACGTCATAATTACGCTTTATCACTTCAATCCTTCAAATGTTGAATCGATGTACATTAACTTGTTTACTCTCTGTCCATCTCATTTGACATGACCCAATTGTTCAAAAAAATGATCTCACAATTGTCTAAATAGTTCTTATCCACAAACAGAGTAAATTGAACCACTGGAATCACACGGAAGTGACTAACGTAACCATCAAACCCGAGCCCAAGCGTCCTCACTCGTGTAGATGGTCCGCTACATTTATTACTGGCTCCGTCGCCGGCTATAGCCAACGAGTTAGTTGCCAGAATTTCCCAAAGTCCCCCGGGCTATTTCGTCCAGAAACGCAAAAAGTTTCGAGCGGTGCTGGTTAATTTCTTTCTGACAGCAGTGGTTTCAGCTGTTCCAGGCAATCATACGCACTCAACCCGTGGATTGATGGAGTTGAAAAATGTTGGAATGAAAATGATCAACAATAATTCGCTTCCACGGTTCACATTCCAGATGACCGAGTTTCATAATTCCACATTTGATTAATTTTCCTTCTTTTCTTTTTCTTCTCGTTCTTCAGCGTCGTCAAGGAAAAATGAATTTATTTGCTGAAGGAATTCATTTATCGTCAACGGTTTGAATAAATAAAGTATCTGTTTGCCTCGACTGCGTCGCACTGATCAAACAAACAACAAATGGCGCCAGAACGGATCGAGTCGAAGAATTTTCCACGTACGATGATATTTACTCGTGAGAAATTGTCAATCAGCAGTAGCAGAGATGAAAGCAAACACCGTCGTCCTCATTATATTTATCTTCAACAATGGCACTGGTAATAACGCGCGGAAGTACAGAGTCTATCTGATGAATTCAGTATGGTCCAATGGTCGTGAAGAAGACTCTTTCGGCCAAGCCGCGGCAACCTTCGAGACATTTTTAAACTCCCACGTTGTTAGCGGGAACTGTCGGGTATGTCTTTGCCCGTCTCAATGCCACCAATACACGGATCATTTCGGATGTTCTTTCGAGGGAGATGCTCCCCAGTTGTCAATGTGTCGGTCGATCGAGGAATTTGTCCCGAGACAGGTTCGTAAGAAGACAACAGTGGGTTTGGGAACACGTGCTGTGATGATAAATGAATTTGCGCCAACATACGGAAGTGCGGAGGTCAATCCACTTTGCGTGACAGAGAGGATTAATGGGGACGATTGAAATGGAATGCATTGTCGGAATTTTTTGGAAATGTCGAAGTTAATTGAGACTAATTTTGATGGATTTAGGTTTCATGTTTTCAGGCAAATAAGATTCCCCTAAAATTAAAGGAAGTACCATTTTCGGTTAGGACTCCAATTTTTACAGAGAAAAAGATTTTCTAGTTTTTAGTAGAGATCTCTGGAGTTTAGTACTGCATTGTACTTAGCGTCGGGATGCATCAATTTTTCTATTAATTAAGTAGTTAATACTCAATTTCTTATGTGGAAGTTCCGATTATCCAAATAATCGTCAATCTTCCTACTTCAATTACTGATAAATGCACGGAGAGAAATATTCAATAAAAATTACGTATCTTTTCCGTGATTCCGGAGCGAAATGTTGTTGTAGGAAATTTTACGGAACTGTCACGGAATTTTTCACATGGCGTTCCGTAATTTTTGTCTGAATCTCATGTGAAAAATTACGATACCGTCACTTAAATTTTCTGAGTCGATTCCGCAATCGGTAAGCGAATTGTGAGTTCCGTAATTTTTACTCAACATTTCTCTCCGTGTGCTCAGTAAAAATTACGGAACTCACAGTTCGCTCACCGATTACGGAATCGACTCAGAAAGTTTAAGTGACGGTATCGTAATTTTTCACAGGAGATTCAGATAAACATTACGGAACGCTCTGGAAAAATTCCGTGACAATTTCGTAAAATTTCCTACAACCACATTTCGCTCTGGAATTACGGAAAAGGTACGTAATTTTTGTTGAATATTTCTCTCCGTGTCCTGAGACAGTTTATCCCGGTATTTTTTATTTATTGTTATACTTTTAGATTAATTATTATGAACAATACAAGACTGTCGATTGAGCACAAACTCAACCAGAATGTTTCTATTCATATTAACTTTCGTTTAGAATTTATTGCAGATTTCAATTTTCAAAATTTAAGTTATGTTTATACTACTTTATTATGATCATAATTAAATTTTACCATACGGAAGTAGGTGTTGAATGGGCAGTCCCCTACATTTTCCTGAATAGCCATATTAATATATGAGTTGATTGAAAGAGGTTTAAATTCATTTGCAGCTACCCAATCACAATTTTCGAATTAATTAATGGTCGTGGTTGCAAACTAAAACCCCTGGAAATTGCATACAGTCAAGGTAGTAAATTTGAATATAAAATAGCCCGAAAGTTCTCTTGTATGCGAACTGAACTCCCGGCATTATTAATCAGTGAAATAACAATCATTCAACAAAAAAATTGAGTAATATCGATGCAGACCGTTCGACCAAATCTCATTCTGAACTGTTCGCAGAACTAAAAACATCCTGACTATTTGTAGTCCAAACAGCTCAACACTAAGGGACGTCAACGCGGTGCAAATTTGTCCACTGCAGGGCCCCAGGGCAAGACTTGAAATTAATCGAGAATAGTGGAATTCACGGCACATGTTGAGTGCGATATACGCCAAAGGATATTTACGTACAAACGGGAATGACCGGGTGGTATGTCAGCATACGTGGGTGGTAAGCCACTCAAATTCAGAGGCCAAGTGTTAAAGACCTGTCTCTCAATGCTCCAATCAAAAATGAATCAGCTTTTCCCATTTGCTCATTGAAAATCCCTGATAAATACCAGGTCAAATTGAAAAAGACACAAGCATAAACAGGAAACTAATTTCTCGACTGAGGGCTGTGACATTTGTGGAAGATGTCGCCAGCTTTCAACGCAACCTGTCTGTTTTTATTTGGCAATGAGAACAATCTATTTCTAGATCATCGTCGACGTAAGTGTGCTCCACACTCTCGTATCTCTCTCACTTCACGCGACTTGGAACTCGTCATCTCGTGCACGTCCGGAATCTATTCTTTTTTTTCCCCACTCAGTTCTACATCCCCTAACCAACTGGAACTCTTCGGCGAGGTCGGAGTGCACCATTGTGACTTTGAAACCCGACAAATTGCTTTTCAACTCTGGCTGTTCAAAAAATTCTCTTTTGTCATACTGATTCTTGGGTCGGGACTGATGAAAAGTTGGAGGTACTGTTATGTATCTGAAACTTTTGATGGAATCTTTGGTTTTATGGGTAGTCGATGGAAAAATTTTCATCATTACTTTCACGCTCAATTGCTTTCGAATAATTTTGATAATGAAATGGTAAAAGTTTTTAAGTGAAATCTCTGTTAATGGTGCAATTATCTTTGGAGGTCCAGATTATAATGGCCATTGGCGGGAAACCTCTTTGAAAGCGAAATGAAAATGATACACAGAGATTGGACAATTGCAAGTTCCAAGACAAAAAAATTGAATTCCAGTAACAATTGTTTATAACAAACATTTTTTTAGAGTAGGTTTTTTCCAAATTTTACAAAAAAATGGTAAAGAATGTCCTGCATTGCGCATAAGTAATGACATTTTTTTCTGGGAGGATTTTAGCGTATTTTATTGTTTTTTTTTAGAATTGAAATTGTCTGGAAATTAAGAACAAACACGGAGTTGGTTTCAGAAAAATATTTCTAAATACAATCCAAAAAATGATGAAAATAAAAATAATGAAGGAATTGGTAAACAGCGGATGTCTTCCGAGCGTATTAGTCTAATTCATAAAGTTATTTTACTTATTTACCGGTTTGGTTATTTAAATTATCTCATTTCCAATAGTTATTCGCCCTGTGCAATTTTTACTGATACTAGGGCAACTAGGTACTTCCATATTGCTCAACACAATCACGTACACTCCGGAAAGCCTTTCGGGTCCTCAATGACAACAGAATTCCGTTCTTACCCTCTCCATTGTCGCAAAAACCTTTAATCATTGTGATGACCGCCTCCTTCCCTCCATCCCTACCCCATTCCCATGATTACATCTGTGGTACTCACCAAATTGATGGTGACTATCAGATCGTATTGCTGCCTCTGTCCCTTCTTCTTGTTCTTTCCAGTCTTGACGGAAGCCGCTTTCGGTGTGACCTTAACCTGTCCTTTTTGCGCACTGGGCTTTTGAGCTGGCTTTCCAGAACCCTTGGCCCCCGGCGCAACCTTCTGAGCACCGGTCAGCGGTGCTTTTTGTCCAGAACCACCTTTCTGATTAACGTGACCAACTCCGTCCGCAGGTTTGTTACGTGCCTGTGAATAAATCATAAAGACAATGTGGTATTTTTAATTACAATGATTTTATTTTCGATTGAAGTCAGGTAATTTAGCAAATAATCGAGTCTTATGGACTTGTCCAATAAGAATCTCACAGCATGATTCTTGAGAGAATTCTGCAGGACAACTCGCATTGCGCTTATGGCGTTCACAGTTTTGTTTATTGGAACTTTTTAAATGGCAACAAAAATACTTCTCATACTCAGAACGAAAAATTTTAGAATAATTCTAATGCTAGTACAGAAAAAAAGGGCGCAGGTTGACGACCAAGGGAAAATTGCAATCCTGGCATTCAAAAGTTCCTTGGACGGCTCTAATTATTCCGGTATTTATAAGATATTTTCTGCCCTCCGGCCGGAAAGCGTCAACTTCCTGGCCGCTGCGCTAAACGAAGTTGCCACTTTCCGGCTACGTCGAGCAGAAAAATAGTATACACACCTCGGCCAGTAAATAAGAAAGCCTCAGATCACATGTAATTGTCGGCCGAGGCGAAGCCGAGGTCAACAAACATGTGATCTGAGGCATTCCTTACTTTACTGGCCAAGGCGTGTAATCTACTATTTCCCAGAAATTTCCAAAATTTGGCTGGGTGAAAGTGTCAATTGAGTCCTTGCATCATGCAAACGTTTTAAAAAATTATGAATGAATAATCAAAAAAAAAATAGAAGAAGTTCTTAATTTTTTCAAAGAGCATTTTTAATCTATATTCCGAATAAGTTGAATAACAAGAAATTGATAAATGTATCTGATTTACGGTGACAAATGGCGGCCTGTCGCCCAATACCATGCAGGGGGAAGATTGATTTCGTAAATCTTTTCCCACACTGCATCGAGACATTTAATACGGAAAAGGCTCTTTGAACAAAGTTGTAATATTTTGGAGAATTTTTTAATCACACTTTTATCACGTAAAAATGGCAGATGACTGGATACGACTGTTTTGAAAATTGAGATACCTAGCTGTCACTTCCCATGAGGAGTTAGTGTTTTGTTATCCACCATGGAAAATGACAGCTAATAGATAATTTGCCACAGCGAATCAGATAATTGTAATTTCCACTTTTTTCAACTCATTCTGAATCTCAATTAAAAACGCTCTTTGAAAAAGTTCAGAATTTTTTCTATTTTTTTTATCATTCTATCATAATTTTTGGGAATTTTTACATGATGTACCACTCAATTGACAATTTCATTCTCCTTCACTACAATGATTTCAAGCCATGGAGATGATAATGTTAGCTATAAACTTGAAATGAGATCAAAATTATCACGGAAAATTATCAACTGTGATATAGACTTGCTCAATTTTTCATTTTTTTTTAAATTCCTAAGTTATTCAGCGACGTCTTACAGCAGTTCCCTATCTCAACAGGATAAAATTGTGGGTTTCTTTCAGTTTCTCCAACTAGTATATGAAACTAAATTCCATCGGTGTTTTGGAAGGTTACGGAAGGGCGGCAGCGCCCGAAGAAACTGGGACACCAGCGATCGAAACTTGCAGAGTAGAGCTCACGGGCTCTCCCTGAGAGTTACCGAATGGGGAATTGCGTTGAGGAAGAGAAGGGAGCGCGTCGAAAAGAGGGCGGGGGAGGAAAGTCAAGGAATGGTGTGTATATAGATTGCATTGCAATACATTTACCAATAAATCACGACGATGTACCACTCTGTGCCTCATGCATTGAGGATTCTGCACTTTTCCCTTGGATTGAGATGAATTCTTTTACGCGGGATAATATGGGATTCTGGCTGAGACATAACATCGGATAATATTTTTGTAGCCACCCAGTGTCGTCGGAATTCTTCTCGAAGATCAGGTGGAAACAAAAATAGTCGCAATGAAGACCTTCTTAATTTCCAAGGCGATGAGTTGGTCTAAGCGATAAGTTTTTCGTGTCAGTTAGAATTCCAAGGGTATTTATGATGGTTAAAAATAGGTACTTATTCGTTATGAGACGATTTTTTGATGGAATTTTTCTAGTCAGTTCACAAAAATGAAAATATAGTCAAATTGTATACTTGATTCAGGAATTTTTCTGTCACTGAATCCAGAATTGTTCTATTTGTCTCTAAAGATGTCAGAATGTCTCTAAAGATGATGTCTGTTTTCAATTGAAAAGCAGAGTTGTGACAACATTGTCCAGTGTGGTCTAGAAGTCTCCCCTGGTTAAAATATCATCTTTAGTATTTACCGCTCTACACTTCACCATTGTCAGTATCTAAAGCTGTAACCAAGTAATTCAAAAGAACTATGAGAAGTTTCAAGCTTTCAGTAAGATTCATCCGATTTACGGCTGACCGGCTGTACTTTAAGAGATAATTCTCAAGCTACTCAACAGTCTCAAAAGCGTGAGAGTGATCCTTCTCTTCAACTCCTCAACTACATTTTCAATATTTGCCATTGCGTGAAGAAAACTGTTTACAACAGCGGTAACGCTTCCAATGGAAACGCATAAATTTATACTGCGGTTGTAAAAAAAACTTTTCGAAGCGTGCGCTAGAGTTCTGGATCGTTTATATGACACAATGAATGCAAAAAAATGTATCAAAAATTTATTCCCCAGCTGTAAATCACTCGATTTGTTTCGGGGAGATTTATGGCCGTCCCAGCAGCGAGGATCCTCTTTCCGTGCTCACACACGCGGTTTTAGAGTGGCTCTTGTGCTCAACTAGAGAGTTTTGGAAGTCAGCTTCCAAAAACTTCTGCTTACTCACAATGTAGCTCCCTTGCTGCCATTTATATTGCAACCAGGAGAAACTTTCTGGATTCAAGTAACTGAAGGTTGCTTGAATCAGTAAGTCTATTGGCGACTTGAAGGAACAGAAGATTAGGATCATACATTGTTAGAAATATTTTTTTTTTTTATGCTTATTTTATATCGCTTCGAGTCTGATGAGACTATATGGCGATTGATCAAGACTTTAAAAATGGTTAGATCTCACCATTCTACCCGGCCAGGAATCGAACCTGGAACCTATCCGTTGTGAGGCAACGGCCTTAACCACTACGCCAGGCCACCGGGCTGTTAAAAAAAAAAAAAAAAAAATGAAATTTCATGGAGAGTTGACGACTAATTTTTAGGACAGTGACACTGAATGCGATTTAGGGGAAAAAAATCATGAAATTTCAGGTTTCACTGAAAATTCGGTAAAATTCCAGAATTTTACTGAAAATTGAGAATTTAAAACAAGCAGGGGACAGCGAGCATATGACAGCGCGCCATGTGACAGTGAGTATGTCACAGAGTGATGTCTCTTTTTTTTTGGCCATCAATACATTGATGGCGGGCTTTCGAATGGTCTGAAATATTACAAAAGTTTATAACTTCACAACACTAACAGCAAAAATTTCAGATGGTTACTACATACATATACATATTTTCTGTCCAAATTTCAAGGTGATATCTCGATTTTTGCACGTTTTTATGGAAAAACGGAAAAACGAGTATATCTCGAAAACTTTGTATGAACGGGTATATATGTTTTGAGTGATTTAGATAAAAGGCATCGAAACGACTATTTTGAAAACAAAAATCGAAATCGGTCCACTAGTTTTGAAGACATTGGCGGAAAACGATTTAACAACGCATCGCCATTCCTCCAAAACTATTAGATTGATCGAGCTGAAATTTTGCACAGAGTTAGTCCTCGTTATGACCTAGAATCTGAAGAAATTTCATTTTTTTCCGAATTACTTTAGCCACTTAATTACTCAATTTGCTAAAAATTGACCATCGGGAATGTGACGGTAGACGTGGTCACATCCAGACACGGTCGCCAAACTTCGTATTTTTACGTTTCAGACCATTCTACATCATTTCCAGTAATAATTAGAGAATGTGAAAATCGAAGGATTACAATGCTTCCATTCGGAAGCAAAAAATGGCGAAATATCTAGGAAAGTGGACTCCGAATGTCGAATACTCGTACACTGTCGGATACCGGTACCTCCAGGGTAGATGCATTTGAATCCTCCTTTATTGAGGCATTTCTTATCTCCTTGACTGAAGCCATCAATAGATCTCAAGATTTAAGTCACCTTCAACCACTTTTATTCTTTTTTTAGAGTCTACAGTTTGAAATTTGAAATTTCTGATGCACGAAAATCCCTTCCTCCGAATCCATTTCACCGTCCACATTCGAAATAACTGAGCATTTAGAGTGGACACACCATTGTTCGAATTCAACGGAGGACCTATCGAGGAAAATTTTTGCCTATCAACGCAGTGAAAAAAATGAAAATCCGAATGAGGTATCGATGGACATTCATCCCGTCCAGTGGAGAATAATAAAAACGCGGGACTAGTCGGTGGGAAATATTGTTCCGGCAGTTTTGAACAGTGGAAAAAACGCGATGATGAATACTCAATGCTATTGTCCTCTAGTATCGTAGTGAAGAGGGGGAAAAAAACAAGCGGCGTTAGTCGATTTGGTGGACTGCATTTTTTTGTTTCAGTTCCATCGATTCCATTGAGAAATGGCTTGAGAATAGAATACGAACGTAATAGACATGAAGTTTTGATTCCGCTGAACTGATTTATTAATTTGTTTACTAAAAGTAGGGAGTCATGCGAATTAATGAGGTAGTCGGTTTCTCGGTCACTTCAAGGTTGAGTATTCTGAGATCGTAGAAACTATCAAATTCCAATTCTTTAAGATATATGTCATGTGAATAACAAATTCAACAATAGGAATAAAAAGAATGTTAATGAAGGTTGAGTATTCTGAGATCTTAGACACTATAAAATTACAAGTCTTTAAGTTATCCATCGTGTGAATAAGAAATTCAACAAAGAATGAAAATAATATGAGTCCTCACTCACGGAAATTCGATCAACACATGAACCTGAAATATTTTCCCAATTGTGTGTTAATTGAAGTACTTCATTTATACCGTTGATAATCATAAGTTTTCTTTAATTGTGATTAAGTAAAGGGATAATAACTCATGTCCTATATTGTTTAAATTATTACGTATA